AATACTATTAATAGATAATATATAATTAAAACCAATATTATATAAATTTTTAGAAAAATATTTTGATTCTTGAAAAAAATAAATGAAAAGCAACTTTTTAGTTAAAAAATTTTAAATGTTATAAAAAAAATGCTCTACGATTTAAGGGATAATATTTTTATATATGATAAATATATGCTATGGAAAATAATAGAGATATAAAGAAAGTATTATATTTGTTAGAACAGTTATTTGTATATGTTAATATAGAAACAAATACTCTAATGAAGATAAGAAAATAAGAATAAATAAAGAAAATAGAAAATATTCTAGAGCAACAATAGCATGAAAACCATAAAGCTAAACAATAGCAAGAATGGTGATACAAGAATTATTCTAGAATGTACAATATTTCAAGGATAAATACTAGTGAAAATTGAATAAAACGTAATGATAATCTTGGGCAAAAATCAAGTGTAACGATATATATATACATAACTTTATAAAATAGTTTAATAAAAATTTTTTAAGCTTTTACAACAAGAAACAAGGAAATTTACAAGTAGTAGTTTCAAGTATAAATGTTAAAGTTTATGCTAAAACTTATGTAAATAATTTGAATCAAGTTTTTTTATATTTTAAGCTTAACAAAATTATATTAATTATAAATTAGAAAAGTCTCTAACCCTTTTATAATGCACTATATATATATTATATAAAAATTAATAGAGTAAAAAAGAAGCATCAGGAAAGGAAAGTATTTTCTTTTTACGTTTTTTTTTTTCAAACAATTTCTTTGTAATCCAGGTCGATCTGCGATCATGTGACTTGAATCGCATTACCTGCTCCTTATTTTCCTCTTACATTTTACTGTACATATAAAATAGCGAGCGAGGAATATCAGTGCATATTATTGCTGTACATTTATAATTTACAAATGTCTTTAAGTTCAAACATTTATCTAATTTTTTGTGTAATTATTATAGTACAGAAATTTCGGTTACAGTATAAAATTGCTGATCATCTATATTACGAAACAATGCATGCAGCTGTGTATATATTATTACAGTTCACAAATGCTGCACCTAAATAGGAATTGTCTTTGAAAGCGATAATAAAATGATGATGAATATAATTAAATTTTTTGACCCTATTTACTACATATACTGTAGTGCAAATTTTAGGAACATAATTATGGCGTCCAATAAAACCCCATCTACCTTCAAAAATAATTACTCAAATCTCTGCCAGTTAACCTTTACTTTGGATAATTCTTGAACTAATGGAATTTTTTTCAATTCTTCCGCTGTATAACGTAGGAAAAAAAAAAGTTACTAAATTAAAACGAGCACTCATCTTTGGATTCTTTTGTATCCTTTTAATTTCGTTAATTATCAATGTTTACCATTATTGCTTTCTTTATCTCGAGAAATTCGAGTCTTCTTTAATAAAAACACCATCAAACTATAATAGCATTGAAATAGCTCCTAATGACACACAATCACCTCATCCAGAACTTCGAGATCTAGTGATCGTTGCCGGGCATGCGATCTTTATAGGAAATGATTTTGATAAAATGGATCGTGATGAGGGGTGGATATTAGAAGAGTTTCAGAAAGGGGGAGGACATGTAAAAACATTTATAGAGCATATTAGAAAAGGAGTAGAGTTGGTAATAGATAATAAAGAAGCATTGTTAATATTTAGTGGGTAAGCTTTTTTATTTTTCAAAAAATTTATCAAATTACATTGGTTTTAACTTAGCAATAATCATATTTCTAGAGGACAAACTAGACCTTCCGCTGGTCCGAGAAGTGAGGCGCAAAGTTATTGGGTAAATAGTGAAATAGTTTTATTAATTATAGCAACGAGTTTATAAAAATCATCGATTCTTAGGAAATTGCATGTTCTCTTGATGTGTTTCCAAAAGACCATTCGAATATAATCACAGAAGAATATGCTCGTGATTCATATGAAAATTTGGCATTCTCTATTTGTCGTTTTCATGAATTCACGGGACACTACCCACGGAATATAACCGTCGTAGGATTTCAATTTAAACAAAGAAGATTTATCGAGTTACATCGAGCTGCTTTAAAGTTTCCAATAGAAAGGTATATAATTTACTTAGAAACTATGCCTGCGTTTCTTCTTCTGATTTCCTAACCAATTTCATTTAGATTTAATTATGTGGGAATTGATCTCGATGATAAAGTGTTATTCGACAAGGTATTTTACTCAATGTCGCTAGAAATTTTTTACTAACTTTGATTAATATTAATATTTATTCTATTATTACTCAATCAAGGCTTTTTATCAATTTCAAGAGGACTTGTACGGATGCCATGGAAAACTTCGACAAAAGAAGCTACACAGGAATCCATTTAGGAGGAGGTAGAAAGATTTTTCTTTATATACATATACATAATATATAATTTTTTATCTAACTCAAAAACGCAAATACTTTTTATTCGATAGTCATCCTTACATTCAAAGTTGTCCGAATATTTCACATTTGTTAAATTTTTGTCCTAAAAACAGTACTTTATTATACACTAGGAAGCTGCCCTGGGAAACAACCAGTGAATAACTGAATTAATAATGAATAATCTATAAACTATAATTAACAATTATCTGGAACGTGGGAAAATTTGAAAGCTTTAGATAGGGCGCTTTGACTTATAAAGAAAGCGCAAATTCACAATACATGTAACTTTTACTATTCAATCTCATTTCTTAAAATCAACCAATTAGAAATATTATACGAGAGACTTTACCAAATAGCTTATTATACTGCAGCAGATGGATGTGCACTCACCTATTACAGTATATTGCATCGTAACACTGTAAGATCGCGGGGTACACTGAAATTCGACAAAGAAATTCTGCATTTTTCTTTGCTGAGATGCAAGAGCGCAGTCAAATTTACTTCGGTCAGTATACAATAATGAAGTCGACATAATAATGGAATTTGCAATAAACTATGCTTGTATCGGCATCGATAAACATACTGTATCTTTGCAATCACAATTTCTTCTGTGCAAAGAATTTATAATTTAGCGCATCCTTAGCGAATTGTCTAAAGTATTTTGCAACTTCAAGATTGACATTTTATCAAGTGCCTGCAAATGAATGTATTTAAGTTTGAATTTATCCAGTTCATCGACGCGACGTTAGCACCTAGGATTCGTAATTCGGATAACCTCACCAATCATAACAACCACTGTTCATACAAATTGATGAATGTATTATTGGGAAATGGAAGTCCTTCGAGGACGTTGCATTGAAATAGATATTTCATTGTCTCAGCAATATCTGTGCCCACAAACGTTGACTTTGGATATCCCATCAAACCAGAACCGTACCCGAGATTATTCGAGTAACAAAATTCAAGGTGCTGTTTGTGGGTAAAAAATCAAAGAACGATACTGTATATTTATTATAGATCGATTAACTTGATTGTAACTCCAAAAACCAGTAATGAGACCAAAAGTAAAACTATTGAACTTGACCGCGTAACATAATCTTTCGCGTCGCGCGCTAAAAAAAATCAAAAAAATCATGCTGATGGGTAACGTGAGGTAATAAAAAACCTAATGCAATGAGGTAATATAAGTTTAAATAATATCTTTTGTTGTTTGTTTGATTAAAAAAATAAGTTTATTTTGACTGAGATGGACTGTGTAAAATATAGAGTAAAAAGGCACCAACATAGAAATATTCATTAAGGATAAATTTATACAGTATATTCTTATTTATAAAATATAACAGTTTTGCTTATTATATACTATTATTAAAATGAAAAATCTATTGAATATACAGTATATCTGTTCTTGAGAATTGATGTTATTCTGTTGATTTTACTGTATGTATGATTTTGGAAATTATATCTTTTTGAATTAAAGATCCTAAAATTATGTAAAATCAAGAGCTTTCGTTTTTTTACATAAGTTTTTGGCCTAGCTCTGCTTTTACAAAATAATCTTCCTACTTTTCAATACTGTTTATATTGAGCAGTATGGATTTATCAAGTTAAAAAGCTTAGCACCTAAAAAGTACACTATTATCAGGATCCCGAAAATATTGGGATGAGAATTGTATCAATATAACTAGTACATAATTCCACCTCACCGACAGTGCTTTTAATGTTACTCTTGAAACACTTTCAATACTAATAATTATAAATAAAGTTGTTTAGCATTGGATACTGTAAAAAATCTCCTTGCTCCATAATTTTCTATAACCTTACATGTTTCTTATGGCCTTCAAAATTGCACGTTCTACATAAGAATGGCAAACTGCCAGAATTTGCAGTTCTGAAACAGCATCATCACTCGTGATTTCTTTCATTTTAGGAGTTGTAGCAAGAATAAGTGCATATAAAATTTTTTTCACATTAAATAAAACTAGAGAAGATAATATGTCTTAATACAGTAATCCGTAAAAGTTTCTCTAATATTTCCTCATCAAACTCCGTTTTTTGGTTAGTAAGTCTTTGTAAAATACGTTATGAATAATTTCTAGTAATTCGTCACCAAAAACCTCCACTATACTAGGGCAATGTTGCATGGGCTTTAATAATAGAATTTGCAATAATAATCTATACACAGTGTAAGAGGAGATTTGCATCGTTACATGAACTGATATCATAATGATCTCAAATCTCTCAAATCTGAGAAATTGAGTTATCTTTACTATAATTGTTTTATTTCTTTTATTTAATTTCTTAAATAAATGTTTTTTTTTATTATAATTTAAATAATAAATATAGTAATTATAATAGAAATAGTTAGATTATTTATTTATTTATTTATTTTTTAAGGGCTAAGTTGTGATACATGCATGGATTTTATTGATAAACAGTTACAATCACAATTATCTATATATAAACAGTCTATTATAGTTAGGTTAGTTATTATAATTTTATAATAAGAATAACATGTATATAAAGAAAAGATCAAATCTTTAATAAAAAAAAAAACTTTTACAATAAAAACTGAGTGAAAGTTTGAATAGTTGTTTTAAATAATTATAAAATTAATGAATTGAATTTATTTTGTAATGTTTAAAAGAGAAACTTGAATCAAATTATTGTACCTCAGCCTTAGAAATCTTAATAGTAAAAAAGATTTAAATAGCTTCTTACAATAGTTAAGATTAAGATAATTATAATAGTTTTTACAAATTGTGATTTTTTACAAAAATATTATCTAAATTCTTTTTAAATAAAGATTTCAGTTACAATTTTATAATGTTAATGATTATTGTTAAATGATTAGATTAAATTTTAATATTTAAATTATCAGATTTATGGCTGTTATTAAATAAAAGTTTACTAATAAATTAATATATTGATAGTAAAGTTTCTTTATACCAATATTGCTTTTTAAACATTTCTCTTTTATTATAATTTATATCTTTTTTTTAAAAAAAAATAATTGCTTTATTGGATTTGTTTAAGTTAATAACTTTTTTTTCTTAATAATTTTTGAAAGTATATTTTATAATCTGTTTGCACCATTGTCTTATTTTACTTATATAATTATTATGTTCTAATATACAGTGTATAACAAAATTTTTTGAAATTTTATATTTATTCATTACTCAAAAACTACTGCATAAAAATTAATAAAAAATATATCAAAATAAAATTGAAAATCTAAAGATTTTATTAATATATAATTAATAATTAATTCTTTCACCTTCCTTTTCAATTATCATTTTACATCTT